TTATATAGGAGAACACACCAAGGGGTTGTGGGATAAGCTTGAGGGGATTTATGTGTCAAAGTCGATGACCAACCAATTGTGTTTGATGATGGAGCTTTATTCCTTGAAGATGGAAGAAAATACTACTATTCAAGACCATATCAATGCTTTTCACCAGCTAGTTTGCCAACTGCAGGCATCTAAAATTGCCTATGAGATCCCGCACGAAACTCGAAGCAAAGAGTTGACGAGTCAAGAAGGTTTACCCAATCGGCTTGCACGCGTCGGTCAACATGCGCGTTAATCAGCTCGTGCGCGTCGGTCAACACGCGCGCGTCAATCAGCCCGCGTACGTCGGTCAACACGTGCGCGCCAATCAGTTCGTGTGCGTCGGTCAACACACACGCGCCAATTAGCTCGTGTGCGTCAATCAGCTCGCGCGCGTCAATCAACACGCACGCGTCAATCAGTTCGTGTGCATCGGTCAACACGCGCACATCAATCAACGCGTGCATGTCAACCAACGCGTGCAGCTCTAAGTAGTTGATGTGTTCGACGGTCAGTCCCGCAACGAAGTGTACAAATCAATGAGTCGACCAAATACATGAAGTAACAAAAGGTACAACTCCCGGCAAATGCAGAACTCGGCGGAGGCGACGGACCCGCGCAAGCACGGGTCGGATGTATTCGACCCGCGCAAGCGCTTGTCGGATCTGTCCGACCCGTGCAAGCGCTGGTCGGATCTGTCCGACCCGCGCAAGCACTGGTCGGATCTGTCCGACCCGCGCAAGCGCGGGTCACGTGCACCCCACGAGTCAGCAGAGTCTGTCGCGCAGTTTAGATTCCGAAACGCGTTTTTGACGGTTTTAAAGCGGTTTTCGTAGGATTTATCTGTTCCAGGGGTTCCCAACTGACTTGATATCATCCACAAACGTGGTTAGGCTGTTGTTAACTGAAAATAAGGCCAAATCACTCATTCTCATCCAAATAACCGTACCTGAGGCCTATAAATATCAGCCCAAGACCTCCATTTTGCAGATCTGGAATTTATCAAAAGGACAAGGTGCTGCTGGATTAAAGAGTCAAGGAACACGAAATTTCAGCAAAGACCAACGAGATCCCAGCGAACTTCAGCATAAAAGAGATGTCTTTCGAAGGATCCGAAGCCCCGTACGTTTGTTCCTTGAGATTAGGCTTAGTCCTTATCTCGAGAAGAGCTATTGATTTTGCTTGGTTGATTTCAGAGCTTCAAGCAAATACTTCCTTGGTGAAGTAGGAGCTCCGTTAATTTTTTGACAACTAGATTTGATCCGCAGTCGTCCACGGATAAACCCCGGTACCGACGAAGAACCCACGCAAGCAAGAGCCGATAAACGATTCTTGTGTTTATTTTCAAGAGAGTTATAATTTTTATTTTTGTTATTTGAATTCATTTGTAAACGATTGAAGTTTTAATGAAATCAATAATGAAGGCGACTTTCAACGAAAACACCAACTTATGAATATTGATAAGGAGATTAAAGAAGAAGAGCAGATGCTACTCCGTCTTCCCTATCAAAGTTGTACAAGTTGTTGGTTTAGACGAAAATTGCAGGTCAGACAATAATTACGAGGGAGCAGACTTTAAAATGATGTACACTCCTATGAGAGTGAAAAAGTAATATGAAAGGAGATTGCATTTGGTGGTGGTGAGAGTGCACTGGCTTTTGAAGGTTCTAATCGATGGAGGAATAAGGGGAGATGTGACAGTTATCGAGGGAGGTCAAAATCTCGGGCCTGAGACAACAACGAAAGGAAGTGGTACTAGTACAAAGAAAAGAGTCACATTCAGTTTAGATATTTCTACATGGGATATGATTTGAAGAGCATTAGACAGATGAAGCTTCAAGAAAATGGGAAGGAGGAGAACTCCTTGCCAGTTATGTGTGATGAAGATGTAGTGGTGATGATGTAGAGAATCAGTACTAATGCGAGTAATACTTGTGTGTTAGATTCTGCAGCCTCTATGCACCATTTGCAATAACAAAGAGTTTTTTGATACATTAAAGATGTGGATGAAGAATTTGATGACATGATCATTAGAAATAACAAGAAGATGAAGGTTGAAGGCATTGGAAGTATTCGCCTCAAGTTTCACACTAAGAAGATCAAAATTCTTTGTCATGCGAGATATATGCTATCATGTGGTGCTAATTTAATTTTGTTAGGTGAGATAACATAACGTGGGTACAAGTATGCGGGTGAAGGAGAGTGGAGCAAAGTGTATAGAGATGGTCATTTGATTTTGCGAGGGAAGAAGAATAGCTACCATATTTGCTATTTAGATGTGCATTCTGTTAATGGTGTATGTGACTCTTCTCAGAACCTTGTCCACAAAGGAAGAGCTAAAGAATAAGAAGGAGAGAGTGTGAGTATTTCTGAAGCCGTTGAGATACTTGGATATTTTTCATGGAAGGAGAATATATTGGGTGCTAACTCAAACTCCAAGTTAGATCCGGGTTTGAAGGTTAGGCCTAATCCTAGTAGTTTTCTTGGCGGCCAAGTTGACTTCGTGGATAAGTCAATGGTGTTTTTACTTTTTAAAATAAGGCATCCTATTTTAGGATTTTTTTAGTAGAGAGAGATATAATATTATTATAATTAGGGTTTAACAGAGGTTGTAACCGGGTTCAAAAGTATTGTGAGAGAGAGGGTTTCATAGTCTTTGTCAGTGTAAAAGATTGTAATTTGATAGTGACAGTGGTTTTTCTCTGTAAAATCTTGTGTGTGATTTTATTTGCTACATTTGATGATTTTTGGGTTTTTTGTGAGATCTAAAAATTCCAACATTAAATTGGCAAAAAATACATGATCAGATGCTTAAAAGGCATTCTTTTACCTATTTATTGTATGAAAAGATTTTCTTGAGCTCCTTTTCTCTCTATTTGTTTCAGTTCAACTATAGCAAAGTTGGTTTTTTTTAATTAAAAATTTTGCCAAACATGTGTTGTAGAAAGCTTTGCAAGAAATATTTAAAAGATTGAACATGAAATCTCAAAATGCAAAATTGCAACGTTCAAATTCCTTTGACAACTAGTGGATAATGTAATCAGCATATCAGGCATATCACGTAGAGGAGCACAAATTGTTATGAAATATAACACTTACTTAAAAATTTTCAGTATCATATCATTTTATGATGTTAGTACCAATATTACATCCACTAGTAAAGCAACAATCAAAGAATATACGGAAGAATATTATCAAAAACGGAGAAACATGGTAAATGTTAGAGAACGAGTAAATGCTTATCTTGGCATGACTAGATGACATTTTTCTGTATTTTCAAAAGTGTAAAAAAATAAGCAGTTTGACATTATTTTTGGTCCGAAGTAAAATATGGTTATTTGAGTGTTCACTTATATACGAACATCCTTTACTTAAGCATGTTAAAATATGAGCAAAATAAGCTAGGAGCAACTTAATTATTCAAATTTTTAGCTCTTAAGAGGGTGTTTGGGAAGACTTACTTTTTGAAGCTTATAAGTTATGCTAACTTTTAGTGGCTTTTGGCTTTTGTGACAAAAATATTATAAAAATTATTTGGGTAGTATAATAATTTGTTTGGTCATACCTAGTTTATTTAGGTGAGCTTGGAAGTTAGTTTTTCGAAAGCTGATGTATACCAATTTTTTTAAAATGTGACTTATAAGCTAACTTATTTTATATTTTACCAAACATATAGAAATGGAAAAGCTAGCTTAAAAGCTAGTTTGACCAAAAAAATAAGCCGCCCCAAACACCCTCTAAGAGGGTCCGCACACCTTCTTTGAACGAGAGATTTAGTTCAAGTTTGTTTATAAATCCTATGAGTTTAAATGAAAAATATTCATGTTTAAGTAATTTGTATAAAATATATGATAAACAATCTATTGTCCCATAGGATCCGACCAATAAAAAAAATCAAAGATTTAGGAAAGACCAATATCTATAATTTGCAATAGAGATGAATGATTAGAAAAAGAAAGGATAAGACATAAAAGTAAAATGATAGGGGCACACCCCCAACCACACCCCTCTCTCATTTGCTACAGTGCACCGGGCCCCACATGTGATTTTAAAATTTTAAAATCACATGTGGGGTCCGGTGCACTGTAGCAAATCAGAGATGGGGTGTGGTTGGAGGTGTGGTTGGAGGTGTGGTTGGGGGTGTGCCCCTAGTGCCACCCGACATAAAAATAGAAGGAAAGAAAGAATAATAATAAGATACAACAAAAAAGATCATAAAATGAGGGGGAGGAATATCGAAATTAGAATGAAGTGATTCAAGAAGTAGCGAGAGAAGAGGTTGAACATGAAACATGAAAGAAACACGGCATGTTAATTTCGGCATTTCAGACATCTTTAGTTACATGAAATTGTCCTCCATTTGAAAAATCCTAAAATAGTTCGGAGACCAGACGATTTTTTTTTTTGAAAAGACAGGTAGGGTAACCTAACTAGCCAAGCCCTCAACAACACTCTGTCTCAAAAACAAAGGGACAGAAACAGACAAAAAACAAGATGACAAACAGTTGGGAGACTCGGCCATTTGAGAATGCTTTCCAATGGGTTCAGTCCATTTCTGACGCGATGGTAAAGGAAGAAAACTCTTGGATTAATACATTGATTCCTAATCTTCTCATGTTTTGTCTAAATTCAAAGGTTCTCCTCCTCCTTTGATATACCAAATATTCGTTGAACCACATCTACTGCATCATTTTCATAGCCTCTTTAAGTTCGGGAACGTGGGTTTTAAAATCCCGTGTCCTTTAAAAAACTAAAACGTAGATAATGATTAATAGGATCGTCAGAAAGCTAACTTTTACAACTATAAATAAGATATATTTTTTTTTCCAAAAAACTATTTCGAGATATTGTATTTTCTTAGAACTTTCCGTATTTATTATGGGGGAGACATGCGATACGCATCCACAAATTATAGCCTTTTTTTTCTCACGAAATAAAAACATAAAACAGCATTAGCAACATGCTCATGACTCATGACTCGTAAGTTTACAAAACAGTCCGAGAAATTGCTGCTATTTCGCATCCGCTACGCGGCTCTCGATTCCATCCTCCCTCGCCCCTCTCTCCCTCTCTCTATAGAAATTTCAATACAATTTGCCGACGACGATGAATAGTTGAAGGGAGAGGAGAGAGATCGCAGCGATGAACGCCGGCAGCGCGGCGAAGCTCATCGTGGAGGCGCTGCTCCAGCGCTTCCTCCCGCTCGCCCGCCGTCGAATCGAGACCGCCCAGGCCCAGGTTCCCCCCCAAAAACCCTAACCCTAACTTTTGCCCCCAATTAGTTTCTTTTTCCACGAGCAAAATTGACCCGCACGATGCCGCGGGCATTAGCGCGAGAAAAGCAAAAAAATTACAGTATGAACATTTGCTTTAGAAATTTCTTTCTAATTTGTCGACAATAAATGATCTTCGGAAGTGTACTCTACCGCGCCGCAGATAAGAAACGCTGATCATCTACGATACATTTCCCAAAAACCTTAGTATATCGAAGCACTAAAGAGTAACAACCAAAATTAAAAGTTCAAAATAAGATGCTAAAACTTCAAATTAAATTGAAATGCTTATAAACGTAGTCACTTTGGGTTAAGTTTAATTGCACCTCACTTATAAATAAAGACAAAATACTAATGGTTCACGTCTTCTAACACCTACTTTAGTTACGACCCTCGTGAGCTTACATATCAAGCTTACATATTATGGTACGTGACTATCACAAAAAATGCAAGAACAACATCAATAAATAATAAATTAAAGAGGCTATAAGCACGTGATGTTCAATTCGTAATAATCATAATCATACGAAGATTTGTGAGCTTACATATTAACCACGAAAAATTTACATGTTTATGCATATGATAAATTCAACCCACTGTATGTAGTGCTCTAATTCCTCAAAACTCTTTATGGACGCACTATTATACTTATTTGTACCACAGGCCAAAGGATGGCCTTTGCTATAGCTCTATTCTAGCATCCTAATATAGGTCAATATTCATGTAAATTAAAAAAGACTAAACAAAATTTGAAGAAGGGCAACAACAAATACTAGGTGAAGTGATGAAATCAAGTGGTAGTGGCTAATTCATTCCTAGGTTTGCATGGTAGACTCATTCTGCATCTAATTTTAATAGGAGGTACAATTTCACTGTAATACAATGGAAACTAGATTATTTTTTTTGCTGTATTCTTATATAGTCTACTCTAGCCCCTTGCACTACATATCTCTTCTGATACCAAGTTAATGAGCCACAAATTTGTACTACTCTACTGCATTGTATTAGTTATTATGTGTCTTGTTGTCGCCTATCAACTATAAATGCATCCATATCAAGGGTGAACAGTAAGAAAATACAAATAAAATATACCCAAAGAAAACTGGAATGGAAGCAACCCACAAGACTGAAAATTTTGCTTCTCCGCATCCACTCCTCCACTCTCTGGTCTTTCCCCTTCAACTCCCGCCAACCTAAAACCCTGAAGTCCTGCTACTCAATCCCCACCTTTCGTGGGGCCCGCTACCTCATCTGCAGCCCTCTCTCCTCCATCTTCTCCCACTCATCCTTTCGTCGATCTAGGATGGATACGGTAGCGGTGAGTTCATGAGGCGTCTTTCCCGAAGCAAAGCTCGAAATAAAAACATAAAACAGCATTAGCAACATGCTCATGACTCATGACTCGTAAGTTTACAAAACAGTCCGAGAAAGTGCTGCTATTTCGCATCCGCTACGCGGCTCTCGATTCCATCCTCCCTCGCCCCTCTCTCCCTCTCTCTATAGAAATTTCAATACAATTTGCCGACGACGATGAATAGTTGAAGGGAGAGGAGAGAGATCGCAGCGATGAACGCCGGCAGCGCGGCGAAGCTCATCGTGGAGGCGCTGCTCCAGCGCTTCCTCCCGCTCGCCCGCCGTCGAATCGAGACCGCCCAGGCCCAGGTTCCCCCCCAAAAACCCTAACCCTAACTTTTGCCCCCAATTAGTTTCTTTTTCCACGAGCAAAATTGACCCGCACGATGCCGCGGGCATTAGCGCGAGAAAAGCAAAAAAATTACAGTATGAACATTTGCTTTAGAAATTTCTTTCTAATTTGTCGACAATAAATGATCTTCGGAAGTGTACTCTACCGCGCCGCAGATAAGAAACGCTGATCATCTACGACACATTTCCCAAAAACCTTAGTATATAGAAGCCGCTAAAGAGTAACAACCAAAATTAAAAGTTCAAAATAAGATGCTAAAACTTCAAATTAAATTGAAATGCTTATAAACGTAGTTATTTTGGGTTAAGTTTAATTGCACCTCACTTATAAATAAAGACAAAATACTAATGGTTCGCGTCTTCTAACACCTACTTTAATTACGACTCTCTTGAGCTTACATATCAAGCTTACATATCATGGTACGTGACTATCACAAAAAATGCAAGAACAACATCAATAAATAATAAATTAAAGAGGCTATAAGCACGTGATGTTCAATTCGTAATAATCATAATCATACGAAGATTTGTGAGCTAAATTAACCACGAAAAATTTACATGTTTATGCATGTGATAAATTCAACCCACTGTATGTAGTGCTCTAATTCCTCAAAACTCTTTATGGACGCACTATTATACTTGTTTGCACCACAGGCCAAAGGATGGCCTTTGCTATAGCTCTTTTCTAGCATCCTAATATAGGTCAATATTCATGTAAATTAAAAAAGACTAAACAAAATTTGAAGAAGGGCGACAACAAATACTAGGTGAAGTGATGAAATCAAGTGGTAGTGGCTAATTCATTCCTAGGTTTGCATGGTAGACTCATTCCGCATCTAATTTTAATAGGAGGTACAATTTCACTGTAATACAATGGAAACTAGATTTTTTTTGTTGTATTCTTATATAGTCAACTCTAGCCCCTTGCACTACATATCTCTTCTGATACCAAGTTAATGAGCCACAAATTTGTACTACTCTACTGCATTGTACAATTTCACTCTAGCCCCTTGCACTACATATAAACTATAAATGCATCCATATCAAGGGTGAACAGTAAGAAAATACAAATAAAATATACCCAAAGAAAACTGGAATGGAAGCAACCCACAAGACTAAAAATTTTGCTTCTCCGCATCCACTCCTCCACTCTCTGGTCTTTCCCCTTCAACTCCCGCCAACCTAAAACCCTAAAGTCCTGCTACTCAATCCCCACCTTTCGTGGGGCCCGCTACCTCATCTGCAGCCCTCTCTCCTCCATCTTCTCCCACTCATCCTTTCGTCGATCTAGGATAGATACGGTAGCGACAAGGTTGCTGATAGCGGATCGCGGCACGTCGCGGCGAGGTACCGCTAAGGCTATATCGGGCTATTACGGCGAAATCGCGGCAAATAGCGCACAGTCAAATAGCGGTCAAATTTAAATATATTTAAATATCCTAAATAATAAGAAAATTCATAAAAAATCTAAAAATTTAATTAGTTGTAAATTTCTTGTATTATCAATAAATAACAATTAATAAGCTTGTTGTATGAATGAAACTATAAAAAAATTCAAGAAATATAACATCATAATATGTGTGATAGCGGGTTTAGAGGGTTTAGCCGCTTTTAACCGCGAAAATCCGCTTTTAACCGCTAAAACCCGCTTTTAACCCGCTAAAATCCGTTTTTACGCGCTATTCGAATGAATAATGGATTTTTCCGCTTAAGCCAGCCGCGAAACCCCTACGCGTAGCGCTGAAGGACCGCGACCGCTATTCGCGCCGCTATAGCCCCGCTATTGGCCGCTATTTACAACACTGAGCGGTGAGTTCATGAGGCGTCTTTCACGAACCTCATGCCCTCATGTGTCTACTATTGGAGAGTACATGCAGACGGCGAGTCTCTGGGGAAAGGGGAGGAGGCGGCGGAAATTGTACATCTTTTTGGGGGAGAGGAAGGATTGAGAGTGGTGACAGATAATAAGGTTCATGGATTTTGATTTGGCCGTTTTAAAGGGATGAGGGTGAGAATTAATTAGGAGTTCCACTGTAGCTCAATGTTTTAAATGTCGGAGGTCGGGTTCATGTCGGACGGCTAAAATTCATGTCAGATAAAGGAAATCAGGGATATGTCGGGGGATATAAAAAACGTATCGGATTGTCATATCGGATGGTGTGCATATATGTAATATAAATATCATAAATAAAATCTAAACATACTTAATATATGTTTAGGGTATGATACTTAGGGTTGATATTGACGGAAAGAAGTGAGAAAAAAAAGTCTGATGTTGATGGTTAAGGAAAGAGAAGATCACCCGGTTTTGATATTGAAGGAACGGGTCAGAGAAGAGACCAATGAGATGTTGAAGGAGAGAGAGAAGACGAGTGACAGAAATGACTTCAATCTTTTTTTATTTTCCTATACTGATCAAGTTTTGTTCTTGGAAGCTATACTAAGACAATCAAGAATTTAAACTCAAACCTGATTAGATAAACATAACCAAAAGAATAAAAAATCAGTCAATTTTTGAGACTGAAAAATCGATCGACATAGTTGACATGTCCCCTGATATATCCGCCCGACATATCCGACATGTCCTCCGATATATCTGACATGAACCCTGAAAACGCAATACGCATTGAAAAGCTTCATATCGTGTCAATCGACCCCTAAATCTGACATGTTGGCCGACATGTCGGCCGACATTTAAAACATTGCTGTAGCTATGAAATGACATTGTACAATGCTAATTCCTTTAGTTTTAGCATATATATAAAATTGCAAAGAATGAGAAAACCCTAAACTGTGCTCATTTTGTATTAGTACTTTAGTATATTTATGGAATGTTTAGCTAAGTTGATGCGTTCTTTACCTAAATTTGTTGTTGATTTGTTCCTTAATTTCCAGAACATAATAGGGTTTTGCAGGAGAGAGAAAGAGAGAGGCGAGGGTGAGTGGGACACTATGCTGCTCACTAATTCCCTCTTTTCTCTCACCTCTCTTTCTCTCTTTACCTTAACATTTGCCCCCTTTAAGGGCAATGACAATGATTAGCAAAACCCAACATAAATAAACGCCTAAATGGTCAAGTTAAGAAACAACCCAATTCTAACAATTGACTTATTGGCAATTTAAAGGAGTTCTGTTTAACTACTTTGTCAGCGATTTTGGTCTTTTCTATTTATTATAAAAATGGTTAATTCCGGATAGACGCTTAGTAATCTATTGGTGCGGATAAACCATTCATACTATTTGTCAGTGTGGATAGACCCCGTCAATGATTTTGTTTATGAGAGTTAAAAAAGTTCACTTGAGGGGTCTATCCACACAAATTGAACTACAAGGGGTTGTTGCACTTGGGCTATAGTATATAGGGTCTTTCTGCAAATAACGCTTATAGAAATTCCCAAGTGAGATGCATAATATAGTTGTTTCCCTAAATAGCCGATTAACAACATGTACATCATGCTTGATATATTTCTGTTATAGTTTAAGTTGTTCTAGCAGACCTTGATAATTAGCAACACTTCACGCTAACACAAGACTATTTTTCTAAAAATTAGCTAAAGATAATGTGCTTCAAGCAGGGACGAAGCCAAGTACAATGCTTAGGGGGCACTTGCCCCCACTAAATTCCTAATTTTTACAAAGCTAGACAGCATATCTTAATAGGTGTCCCCACTAAAATTTAATAGGTGCCCTCAGTCCATTTCAGCACACATTCAATTTCAATCCATATCTATTTTCTTCTATACTATTTCATCAATCCTACCCAATTTATTTTAGAACAATAAGTTCAAAATGTTAAAATTTCTCTCTTTGAACCATCATATCAAAGAGAGCCCATTGCCCTATTCTTGTGAGAAAGACCAATCGCCGCTCAAAACCCAATCGCCTCTCAAAAAACCCTAACATCACCCCTCCTCCACCTCTCTCAGCGCCTCCAATGGCCACCTCTCGCAGTGCCTCCACCTCTCTACCACTCTCATTTTAGATTTGGGAATTAGGTACGTTCTCTTTGAGTCATTTGGTTACAAATTAGTTTCCTTACCTTTTGAGATTATGGCATTGATATATAAGACTGAAACTTAAAAATTATGCTTTGATTTGGTTTTTAATAGGGTTTATTAGTTATAAATTATGAGTTATAAAAACTCTAAAAGTGTGCTGTGAATCTGTGATTTATTTTTCAATAGGAATTATTACTTATAAAAATTGCAATTTTTGTAGTTTTGGGTTTGCCCAGTGTGTTGGGACTTGGGACTTGACTTGGATGTAGTATTTGAGAATTGTGGAAGACAAATAGTCGTTTTTTAGATGATGAAAGTTGCACCAGTCCTTTTAAAATTAATAAACTTATATTTTGTCCATGTTCTTTTCGATAATTTAGGGATATCAACCATTATTTCCCTTTTTGTTAGGTATGAAAAAATTTCTTAAAAGAAAACAATGGCCGAGCAATCAGATTGTGCTCAACCTTGTTCTTCTGCAAAGAAAAGATTTTGAAACTTGACTTGAAAGGCTTACCAACAGATCATGGATTACGATCGATAATGCTAGTTTATCATCCTAACAATTGTGAAGAAATTCAAAGAGCTTATATATTTAAATGTCCATGTCTACCACAAGAGTATAAATTTTCTCAAAGAAAATTGAGAAAAAAATTTAGAACAATTCAATCCTAATTGGTTCAACCAGGGTGGTAATAGGCTTTTGCGATAGATGGTATAAATAAATTTTGCTATTGGAATACTTTTATTATATAAGTTCTTAATTTATAGGTATAATTTTATATGTGCCCCATAGGGAAAAAAAGTTCTTGGATCCGCCCCTGGTTTTAGGTTGGGTTGGGTCGGGTTGGGTCTGGTTTGTGCTGGCCCAAACAAGGCAACATAAGTTCCAATTAATTTGATTCCAAATCCAAAACTTTATAAAGAGTCTTGGCAAAAACCTTACAAGCAAAATCTAAGATCTAAGCTCGAACCATTACGTGCGTGTTTGGCACGTGGAAGTAAATAGAAAGCGTAAATTAGAGAAAGTACTTTCATATTACTTTCTATTTGGCATAATGTTGTTTGGATGACTGAAAGCAAAAAAAATGGAAAGTAGAGGTGGCAGATGATGTTGACATTTACTTTTTTATATCATGTAAAGTGAACAGTAGAAAGTGAACAATTAAAAATATAAAGATAAAAGAGAATAATAAACCAATTTCTCTCTCCTCTCCCCTCGGTTTCTATATATTTTTTAAAGAAGGTAAAAGTGACTAAAAAGCTAATGTGACGTCCTTCACTTTCCATTATTCAACAGGATGGCCAATATCTTCGACCGTCAGATCCTGCTTATGAGCAAGTATTGGATTCATTGGCTATGGTTGCTCGACATACACCTGTGCCACTTCTGGAAGCTCTTCTTAGGTGGAGAGAAAGGTATATAAACACAAGTTGAACTTTTTAACATTGTTTGTGCTTCTTAGTTGTTGTTTTTCCCCTCTCCTCATCTACTTAGTAGATTGCTTTTTTAGTCCTTTTTTTTGGGGTGATGCATTTTCTTTTAGTGCGGTTGGTCCGAGAAAGACATAGGATATGTCAGTGACTTTGCATGGCAAAGCACTCTCGGAGGGCATGAAATGTCTATTATTGTGGTCAGAATCTCGACAGAAACAATGTTTTTAGATTGGTATAGCTGTGTTTTCACGTATATTCAACCTTGGTATACTCTGAGATATCGAGGTTTCCTTGACTAATTCTCTCTTTATCTTCTTCTGAATGAGCTTTCAATATCATTTTGTTCAGTTCTATTTTGCTTTGGTTTCAGCCTGTGTGGAAACCATACCATAATGAGATGGACAAATAGATTAATGTGGCACAAAGAACATATAGATGACACCTGCCATGACATAGTTTACAGTGAAATTTAAACTGTGGTAGGCGTAGGGTTTATGTCTTACTTTGTTGGTATGAAGTTCCCATCAATGTTAAGTCTTCTTTCTTCTGTGTCCTTAATTATCTGATTGGAGATTTGATAATTTCATTTGTTTATTTGAACATAATCATCATAATCAAATGTATATGAAGTGAAAGCGGCCTGAAGTTGTCCAGGCACATAGGATTTTAGTTCCATAAGCAGAAAAGTGGCTGGTTCTTTTATAAAGAAAATAAATAATATGAACATTAAAATTAGAGTAAAAAAGGCATAAGCTTGCCTCTACAGGCCTATTTTCCCTTTCCTTTTCCTTTCTTTTGCATTGTGTTATTAGACTAGTCTACATCGTTGCTTGGTATCCCTTTTCTTCTCTTTTTAAATTTTCCTTTTTTGGGTTTTTTATTTCGGGGGTAGGGGCCGCGTTAGACTTGGGAAGGTTCATGACATAATGAGTGTTGTAGAGAAACATATGTTGGCCATTGTTGGGTTTTAATTAAAATATTAGTCACTTATTTGATGCTTTCTTTTTTCCAAATACACACACAGATACACCTGGGTGATTTTCTGTTTTTTACAAGTATGAACATGAACCTAGACATACCAATTTGTATACAGATGCATAAAGGAGAAAGTCCAATTCATGTAAAGCTAAGCAGCTTGATTTTGCAGTTTGATAGATTAGCATGCTGTTGTTGTTGCTGATTATGATTGTGTTACTACTGGTTCCTGTAAATTTGCTTTTGGCCTTCAACATGCAGTCTTGCTTCAGTTGTCCGTTTAATATTATGGCATTAGATACTTGTCCTGGTAGATAAATTTTTGGGAATCTCTGGCGCCTCGTATGCTTAAAGTTTGAGAAATTTGAAGTTCTGTTTAGAAGCACTTTCTGTTTATGCCGGCATCTTTAAACTCGTAAATGTTTTGAATCATAACATGAACATTATGTTACATCATAAGCCCTGATCTTTTCTGAAGCAACTGTTGGATGAATTTACCATGTTAACTTCTGATCTGAATATGTGATCCTTGAAGATAGCCAAAGTGCTGGCACTGCTAATCAAAGTCTTTTTCTTATATTTCAGTGAATCCCCAAAAGGTGCAAATGATGCTTCTACATATCAGAAAAAGGTAGGGAATATGCAGGTGTCCTTGTTGATTGTGGTGACATTTGAATTTATTTGGATTTAGTGATTTTCATGAAGCTAAAGTGATAAATTCACTTCCACATGTCTTTTGTCTCAACACTTCTAAATGCATATAATTTAAGTTGTACCCATGCAAGCATATCTGATTCTGGACACTTCTTCCCTTTTCATATTAATATATGCCGATGGTGTTTAGCATCTAATTTCATCTGATGTTGTATAAGGTCTCTGATTCCTTTGCCTTTTTGGCTTTCGTGAGCCTGTTTGTTAACATTCACTGGAGGATTGTACTGTCACCCTCTATTCAACTTATACGAGGAATGATATGAGGATACCTTTTTTTTGTGATTTATAATATTTGATATCCTTATAATTTGTAATTGACCATTTCCTTGATTTCTTTCCTTTTCAAGTTCAATGTTTTCAAAATTGACATTTTGCTATGTATGGGAAATATCTAGCAAAAGTTCATTCTACTTACCTTGATGTGAAAGTTTGAAACTTGCACATATCAGAGCAGGAGTGAAAAAAAAAAATTGTAACAGTTTTTTATGGTGCAGTAGGTATTCTGAAGAATCTTTGTTCTCTTATAGTTAGGTTTTAGCATTTCACTTGAAATGAAATTACCGGAGGCGAAAAATTTTCGAGTTAAACACCATGTACCTTTAGGCTGATAGGGTTAAGCTCAGATCTCAATTTAGCCTTCAAGTTAACATGATACCATCAACAGCTCCATAGCTCATTTCTCTTTCCTTTACTGCTGTTGCTTATGTCATGTATATTAACCTACAATTGTAATGGTCACTCATATTACCCACAAGTGTTGTGGCTTTGGTCCACAGAAAAGTATGATAAGACAACAATCATATACTTTTGTATTATTGTAGAAAATGTAGAATTTTCCCCTATTGGCTAGTAGGTAGTCTTGGTTCAGATAGTATGTTAGACTCTGCAATGAAGGGTTAGGAGTCAATTTTTTTGTACAAAGTATAAATGTTACTACTAAAGAAGCTTAATATTAAGGTGTATTTTCATTTTAATTAGATTGGTCATAAAAAAATTTGTTACCACATTGTAGGTTTTTTTACAGCATTGGTAATGACCCAAACAAACTGTTGGAGTATGGTCTTTGCCGTTGGTGTTGATATCTGCTGAAAGCAATCATAAATGCTCTCCCTACCCTGCAAAACTGGAAAGCAAAATCATTGTTCATGTCCAGAGTTAGCGTTCTAAAAATTTTGGAAGATGAGATATCACCATATTACTTGTGGACAATACCTGGGGTATCTAGAAAACTATGCTGCAATCATAACTAGTTGTGTCACAAGAAATGAAAATAATGACCAACATTTCTTGAAATAGTGTCAATACGGCATAAGACACTTCAAGTTATTTTCGTAACTTATCAGCCATCAAGCATCTTTTCCAGCTTATTGACAGGAAAGAACAGAGATTTCCCGCAGATTATTGACTGGAATGCGGTGGGAGCATATCCTGTGCTTCTTAAGGTGTATATCCCTTCACTTCTATCTGTGGAGGGGCCATGCATCGTACACATCCTTGCTTCCTCAATTTGCAAGTTTATACCATGGTCGTTAAACAGTTGCAATATTTCTCATTTTGCTGTATATGCCTTGTCTCCAAGTATATACTTAATGAGGTCAAGCAGACACATTATTTTAACTAGTCAGTGTTCATTCAATAGTCTACTAGATTGTTGCTAGGACTTATGTTGCTAGGACTTATCTCTTTCTTTTTCTTTCCTTATTCTTTTTGCTAGTTCTCAAGTATTTAGCCTGGTTCCTATCAATCTTGTTCTACACATCAAGTTGATGTATGTAAAAAATGGATGGATTATATGCACACACCAATTTTCTTTCATTTCATTCATATCAAAACTTGTATCCCATGCATGTAACTTGTCTGAATTTAAGCATGTCTTTTCATGGATGCATGAGTTCAAGGATAATGTTCATGTATGTAAAAAATGGATGGATTATATGCACACACCATTTTTCTTTCATTTCATTCATATCAAAACTTGTATCCCTGTCCCATACATGTAACTTATCTGAATTTAAGCACGTCTTTTCATGGATGCTTTTGTGAAGGATAATGTTCATTCACCTGCACATATCAATTAACAGTCACCGACTGAGAAAAGATTTTAAACAACTAGCTTGTTGCTGATTATGTATCAGTTAATCATGATTTAGTGTAATACCATAATCAAATTTACATGTTTGGTATGTGATGTCTTTCATACTGGATACAATCTTGTCCTTTTAATTTGTTCTCATTTATGAAATGCTCACTGTACAGCTTTCAGTCGAATGCATATTCTGCTCTGCTTGCATTCGCTTTGTAGAGTGTTGTCCCCAGGAGGGTATCACAGGTTTTAACTGCTCTCCTATTTTTTATATATAGTTTGGTTTGTACATATTTGATCTTCCAATGTCCCATACTCTCCCCTTTCTTTTCCAGAAAAGCTGTGGTCTGGTCTAGAAAATTTTGTCTTCGACTGGCTAATTAATGCAGACAGGTCAGACTCCCGAACTTTATCATATGGCTTTTGCCTCTCAATAGCATTAAAAATAATTCATAGTTCATCTGGAACTTTCTTCCAGCTCATGGTTTTCATGATTATGACAGTTCCATTGTAATAAATTCTAAATTTTCTATGAACATGATTATTAGATATCTTTTGAGGTAGAAATTCTGAGATCAATCAGGAAGGAAGACATGGGTATTTATGCTGCTTCATGCTTCTAAATAATATTTATTGTCATTTCGGCTTAGAGTAATTTCAAGTAAGTGTCTTGTTGGTATCTGG